TGTATACTGCTAACTCTGCTGAGCCCAAATAAATAATGGTGTGGCGTGTAAAAGGCTCGTGAAAGCTCTTCGCCGGGCCGCGGTCGCCGGCGGCGGACTCAGCTATGACGGCCATTGAATTTCAGGTGTACATCGAAAATTAGATACCTCAATCATACGGACATTTTCTGGGCTTGAGAGGTTTTCGTGAAAAAAGAAGGTTCCTGGTTTTCTCCGTCATTGATATCCCTAAATTTCCACAAATTTCGTGAACACTCAAGGAACCTTGGCTACAAACATGACCGAGATTTGTATTGAAACCGTTATATTTGTCAACAAATACAAAAGAACACACAGAAACGCGGTTTTCAACAAGGGTATAGTCTCAGTTTGGTGAAAAACGGTAAACACCGTGATCTGATAGAAGAAATGCACCTTGTAACAATTTCTACTTTATGCATCAGCATTCATAACACCGGCAACAAAAAGAACGCGTCTTTGAGCAAGACCTCTACACGGCATCACCTATTTTGCGCTACATTGCCAATCAAAGCTAGCGTAGTTTCTCCAATGATCCATATCTCTCAAAGCTAGTTGAGCGAGGGCATTCGAATGAGACACAAGACAAAGCTCTCACAGGAGTTCGGAGCTGCAGCGATGCGCATGCTATGCTAGTCTTGACAATCTATATACAACACAAAATTGTTGACACTCAGTATAGTGTGACTGCAAAAGACGTGGTGACGTAGTGCGAGCCTGGCGGTTAATTGTTTCAACAGGCACGTAGCCTCGTTTCCCATTCCCACCTTAATTATAACCAAAAGTACTTGAATCAACCACGAGTTACGTTGAGACAATGTTGCTCCTTATATAGTTTAAACCTAGGGTTTAGTGAACACTAGTGACGAATTTCACTTATTGTTTATAAGAAGCCATCTGTTCACGGTATGAGTGGCTACTGCCAGACAAAGGCTGTGAATCCTTTCCTGTATAGTGACAACGCTCTGAAAACTGCCGGTGCGAGAGTGTAGAGCGGGTATTCACAGGACCCCATATTTGAGTGCGATGTTTAGAGCGCATGCTCAGAACAAGCTTACATTAATAGGCTGCTAAGACCGGCAGTCTTGATGGTGCAGAATGCACGTTGCAAAGGAATTGCGAAAGCTCGCCGTCAGCACGTGCTCAGCAGTCGCGCACACAGCTATAAGGAGTATTCACTGGCGGCCATAACCGTGTGCGCTGCTGCTGAGCGCGTACTGACGGCGAGCTTCCGCAGTCTTTTTGGAGCGTGCATTTAGCACCATCAAGGTTGCCGGTCTTAGCAGGCTATTAATGTGAGCTCGTTCTGAACATGCGCTCTAAACATTGCCCTCAAATATGGCGTCCAGTGAATACCTCCTATGGCCGCCAGTGAATAGTCCCTATTAGCGGCGAGATGTTTTGGTGGCGCCCTCCTATGGTTCTCTCTCGTGATGTCATTACCTTGTGAACAACAGGTTCGACGGCGTTTGTAATGAGTATGGTGGAAGCATGAAATCATTGCGCTCTCAAAGCAACACTGCCAACACCGTCAATATTAAAGCCCTCACATTCCTCTTAGTTCCGTCGATGATGAACCCTTTGCTGACGTCATAATCAGCGTTCGGCCGATCATGGGCGGCCGACCACAGCGACGCTTTCGATCACTCACATCGCCAATGGCTTAATCGTCAGCTTTATTTGCAGGCACACTTATGCAAATGAGTCGACAGATAAAGTTATGCCCTAGTACTCACTCGCGCCAGCAGTTTCCACAGCGTTGTACACTACGGTATGCATGGAAAGGATTATGGTCATCCCAAAGTTCTAAGCTTCTGTATCTTTTTTGTGTCTAGAGTGACCAGACTTTTCCGGATATCGCCTCGCAGACAAAACAAAAACGAAAAGAAAAGATGGACAGTTTCTCTGCGTGGGGCGGGTAGCATTCCGTAAGAGAGCACTAAAGAATCCTTTTAAAAAAATCGCCAAAGGGAAGCGAGCCGTTGCCTTGACAACCGTATCGATCCATTCCGCTTCCCCACACGACACGGCGCGGTTGTCACGTATGACTTCTGATCTTCTCGGCTTCTGCTACTCCACGTCTCTCTCCCCCTCTTCCCTCATTCCCGAAGCTTCTTCCCTTCTTTTCCCCGTCTCGCTTCTTCTCCCCGTTGCCTCGCCACAGGCCGCAAGAAAAAGGATGGGGAATCTAGGGAGTGGAAGAGAGATAAATGGGAGAAGGCCCTGCGTCGGTAAAATTGGGATGCTCTATTCATGGCGCTGCGTTGTTTGGTCCGGGAGACGGGGAGGATGTGGAAAGAAGGATAGACGCGACTGGGGAGGGAAAAGGGATTGAGGGTCATAAAAAAGGAAGAGGGGGCGGCCGCGCTAGGGGAATAGGGGCAGACGGCGGCATTGCGAAGCTGCTTGGAAACGGCGGTATCCCGTGGCGAGGGATAAAATGGCAAGGCAGGTGTCGCGTAGTCTTTTCCCCTAATTTGAATAAACTGTTAGCGGATGATCGTGTTTTATGGAACATGACGAGTAGTTTCCATCTCAAACAACAACACAAAAAGTTATACTATAGAAAAAACTTGACAGTTTGAAACCATAAAGCTTTTTTACGAAAGAATTAGACATAAAAGATAGAACGCGGACAACACATCTTTCGACTTTTAACACACGTATATGCCGACAGGTTTATTTCTGCTCTATATTATCTCAGTCATCTCCAAACAAAGACTATGTCGTCAACGCACTGAATGCATGATAACCATATTCAAGCTTTCTTGTCATCAACGAAGATTAATCGTTTTGATATGAGGGCCAATGTATACTGATTGTTTAAATGAATACGAATGCCGTAGCTGTGCGTTCGAACCAGCGCCGACTTTGCCAATGTAAAATATATTGACTCCGTATCTACAAATAGATATCAAATCATTCTGCAAACACTCGCCGTAAAACATTTTTTTTTTCTTTTCAATTCTTATTGATCTCGAAAACTAGATTTTGTTTTTAAATATTGATCTAAAAACGCAGCATATGCTTCTGCTTTCCAAATTAGTAAAAACCGACAAGCGACAACACAGTATATTTTTTGTCGAAGTGTCTTCGTGATTTTTTAAACGTTAGAAAAGCTTCAATACAAGGTAATAATAATTTAGCTAATAAGGGTCAGCTTATAAGCGCCTTAAATACGTACGGTGAAGAGAAAGAGAGAGAGAGAGAGAGTCGGAGAGAATGAGATGCAAGTTCGAGGGGAATTAACTGTGCAAGTGTAAGAATACGGTTTATTCTGCCACAACCTGTTCGCATGTATACAAACAAGACCCACGGTATTTCTAAGGAAATTAATTTGGAAAAGGATGCATCCAATTTTACGGTCCCTATTCCATGAACGTATAAGGTCTTTTCGCTTTTTGTGCTGTAAAGATGCATCTATATAATTATTTTTGCAACGTTGGCATCAATAATTCATTATACACCATTGGTCACATGCATCCTCGCCGTTCGCGCTTATTTAATTTATGACGCCTTTTCGCACTTGTAAAACCATCCGTGGGATGATTTTAATTTTGTAGCGCTTATCTCTGCATAAACTTCTAATTTGTGTTAAGAACAAGCGATCCGCGATCAAGATGGCCTCCTAACGTAATACCTTAATTTTGATACTCCTGATTTCAAGTAGTAGTTCCTTTTTATAAAAAATAATGCCTAGGGCTCCAAACAAGCGCTGCGCAATTTTTTTCGGTGTGGTTCCTGTGTTTTTGTTTTTTTCCTTCACAAGAAATGATGATTTTCAAGAAGAGAGGCAAGAGAAACCACAAAATCGCCAACATATGGCTCTGAAACGCACATAATGCCGTATCCAACGTCCGATTCAAAAGGTTCAGCTGCATACATTCCGAAAACTTTCGGGGCGTTTCTTTTTTTTTTTTTTGTTTTTTTTTAGTTTTCTTTTAGATAGTAGATATTTTTATAAAATATGTCAAGTGGAGAAAATCGCAATATCAGTAATGATTACTATGAGAGCCATCTCTTTGCCTCTTCCCTTCCTCCCGTCCTTCCCCCAGATGTCCCCCTCTTCCCATATTGCCTTGTAAGAGGAGAAGTGGGGGGAAAAGCGGGAAGATAATCCAATGACGCCACCCCGGACGAACTCGGGCTGCAATCAGAGGACCAGCCCTGTCCCCCACGCCGGAGTCGAGCGGGGAATTCGGCGCAAACACGCAGTTCGCGCTGTAAACGTATTCCCGGTTAAATTACGGCCGCCACCGCCCCCGCGCGGTCCGCTCTTCCCGTCTTCGCTGTCCCTTTCCCGAATTCCCAATCTGGGAGTAGAGAGAAGGGAAGTATGTACCTCGCCCATCCCTTAGACGACATAATGGCGAGGGCTGGTTGTTGAAATCGCCCAATCGCACGCGGGCCTTGCGGCACGTGACAGTGTTCTTTGCCTGCGTGGATGCGTGGGCACGTGACTCGGGGTTTGTCGCTGATTGGTTTGGGGAACGCTTACCCAAAATTATGCTGTCACTTCAGTGGGGAACTTTGAGGGGGGAAGCAGACTTCACTCCGCTTTGCTTCTTTTTTTTTTCTCTACATACATAGAAACGCTCTTCAATCCTGTGTCCCATTCTGCCTTTTGCATTGATTGCCGTCATATCCGGCATCTTTTTATTTATTGCATTCTTCTCGTTGATTGGATGCAAAAAATAGTGCTTTCTATTGTGTTTCGCAACAACACATTTACGAAAATAGTGCTTTTGAGCCTACGGTGAGTAGAATATTTAGGTGAAATCCCCCTCGCATATAGGCTGCCGACTTGTAAGGACAATAACAAGAATGAATGATGAGGTCATCTGTGGTCTAGTTTAACCAACATCATCGAATCAACCTATATGAGACAGAAGGAACAATGAGAACGAAAACAAAAGCACGAGCACGAGGAACGTGCTGGATGCACGAGTTGGAATACCAAGAGACGTCTGGTTGACCTCGTCATGTCAGATTTCAACAAGAGCGGCTTCAGGCTAATTGGTCCCGGGGACCATCACTGCAAGGACACAGTCGCCGTCAACAAAATTTTAACATTACCAAAGGGAACTCAGCTTGGACTTGCGGACCCCAACGGGAGTTCAAAACGAGCCGGCAAACATCACAAGGACAGAGCACTAAAATGCGACGGCGACCGGAATAATGGATTAACAGGCGAACACAATGAGGAAACTGCACCAACAGCCGAGGAAAAACACGCGAAAATCTCTTGTGAGTGCGCCGTAAATGGAGAAGAAATTGTCCCTGGCGTTGTCATTGGAATGAACAGCGCCATGCCCAGGTGAGGTAAGGCCTTCTAAGGCCTTTTTGAGGAAGAGCTCCTTACATATGCATACGCTTTTCCAGTGTACGGTTTGTTCTCTTTAATAGTCCTAAGGAAACGTTACAAGATAGTTTGCACCCTCATGAAGTGACGCAGAAGTGCAACATCATCACCTGTTATTCTCTGATATTGCACAATCCAGATTATAATACTCAGCATTCTACAGATATGGTAGTTTGCTACTGCAGAAAGGTTTTACGCATTTTTCCAAAGATATTTTGTTGTTTTTTAAGTCTACTTCATAGCCTCGGAGAGTTTTGGTGTAAGATGACCCTAATGGGGGGCAATTTAAAGCAAAACCTTCTTTGCCCTAGAGTGGAGAGTTGCGTCGATTGAATGAGAGCCACAATATCACAGATCCCAGACTTTGAACTCTGAAGATGACATAGAGTACGTAACGCGTTACAAGTAACGAGTTATTTCTACCTAGTTACTATTTCCGGTAACGAGTAACGTACCTAGTTACTTTTAAGGCCAAGTAACGAGTAACGGTATCTCGTTACTTTTGAGGAGTAATGAGCACAACAACGCTTTTACAGCCTCGTTTTAATTCTAACCTGAGTAGGCGTTTATTGCGACAAAACGGCAAAGGGGCAACCCGAAAAGCAACTATACAGTATGACGGTATAGCAACGTATATCGGTGAACACGCCAGTCGAAAAGTTCGACAGACATGTCCAGCGATAAACGTCACTGTACTGAACTATACAGGCTGGGAATGTCCTTCACCCAGTGAACATAATAAGGTTCGTTAATTGAACCTTCCAGAGCCGGGTACGGAATGAATAAAAACCCGGAGGCTGCGAACACGGGAAGGCACAGAACCCACTACCCGCTGTCCTGAATGATGGCGCAGTTCCCGAAGATTCACCAGCTCTTCCTGACGCCAACAATGCTGTTCCTTCGAGCGCGTCGGTAGAACGACTCTTCAGCGTCGCCGGAAATGCATTTTTAAGGAAGCGGGAAAACTTAACTGATGAAAACTTTGAGAGGCAGCTAGTGCCTAAGAGCAACGACTACTAACAAGAAAACAATAAACCATGAAACAAAAACAGTTGTGTATTTGGTCGTCAGAGTAACGTGAAAAGTAACTCGTTACATTTGAGGTAACTCACGCGTTCCATTTAAGAATCGATAACGAGGAACTTATTTAGTTACTTTTTGGGGCAACGTGTACATGTCTGGATATAGGCCACGAGCCCGTTTAGTAATCTTTAAACCTCATTCACGCGCCATACTTTAATAGTAAACGAAAAAAAAAACTCAACTGTGTTTCTTTTTTTTTTCTGGACACTGTGATATACACAGCTTGCATGTGACGTCATTCGTAGCCATGCCACTATTTCATGCGTGGCAAGCGTTTGGTTCGCCGTGTTAGTTTCACACCGCAGAAATTGTAATTCGAGGAAGCCAGTAAGTAGAGATAACACTTAGTACCCAGCAATAGGAAGTATTCACTGGCGGCCATAGCTGTATGCGCGACTGCTGAGCGCGTGCTGATAGCAAGCTTCCACAGTTCTTTTGTAACGTGCATTCCGCACCCTCAAGATTGCCGGTCTTAGCAGCCTATTAATGTGGGCTCGTTCTGAGCATGCGCTCTAGACAGCGCCCACAAATATGGCGCCCAGTGAATACTCCTTATAGCGACGTTCGCAAGTTATGTATAACGATGCTATCTTTTAATAATAGCTTCACGTCCTTATGACGCCCTTGAAACGTTGTACCTTACCAGGCGACCTTCATCGCACGGGAACCTGTACAAAGCCTGTGCCTTCGGTAGCGCCTTCGGCGTGCTCTTCCTACTGCCACTAGGACTGTCCCTTTTCGCCTACTACCGCCGCCACCGCACAGCCAAGGCGAGCAGAAAGCTGGGACACTTCGAAGTCACGGGGGACACAGACAACCTGATCGCCAAAGTGGAGGAAGGAGTCCCGTGCGAAGAAATGTTCCCCGCTCAGGGAAGCCACATGGGCACCTCGAGGGCAAGGGACAGCCAGGTCTTCTGCCTTTTCAACGCGTCAGCGCACTACCGACCCCTCGGTAAGGCAACACAAGGCTCGTCCACACACCCTTACGACTACTTACGACAGTGTGTCTTAAAACCTCTCAAACTCTCCTCCTACGACGAGAGAATACACCGAAGTAATCTATCGGGTGATTGGGGGTTACTTGGCATTTCCGCATGTTTCCTATTTATTCGCGACTTTTTTTTCTTTTTTAACTTGAACAAGTCTTGGCGATGTTATAAACGACCATTTCTTATATACTGTCCGTATATTTGATCTCGCATAACCGCACAAAGCCTTCGCTCTAGAAAGAATGCAGCTCCAGGGTGACCTCATAGATGGCGCCAGCGCGCCAGTGTGTTCTCTTTTTATAAGAGATCATAACAAATCGGTCGGAAGCAAATACATGAGTTCGAACAGGCTTTTAGGCGAACAGACGTCAGCTACTGCTCACAAATACCTCTCAAACAGCGTTGTTAGTAACCAGCTTTGGGCGTGAGCATTGCCAGCTAAAGACTAAGACAAGACAGAAAACGGAATAGTTATTTGACAAAAAAATAGTACTACCGAGATATTTCTCCAGATAGCAGCTGTTACGTATTATGGCGCCTTTGAACTTGATCATAAATGATGCAATCTACGAGGCGCATTGGGATAACCCCTTCATGAAAGAGGTGTTGGAACGTCTGTTTTCTGAAGCTTTGTTACTCGTTTAAAGAAGTGAGTGCTAGAGCGAAAGATAATGCTTTTTGTACCAGAAACTCTTCTGCAGGGGACTAATGAACATCTTTATAAGAACAAAAAGAAAAAACGATCAAAAGTGCTAACCACAATGATTTAAAACGAGAAAAATAAAGCTTTTAATTGAGAATGACTCTCCTTAAATCTAAAATAACATCAGACACTCCTCCACAGTGGCTGGTATTCCAAGACACCTTCTTGGCTGGTTTGCTTTAAACGAGTGCAAAACTAATGGCACTGAATACATTCGTTTAATTATTTATATATAAGTTAGTTTTTCTAATATTTTTTTTTTACAACGGTGCATTTAAGGGCTAGTTTCCCCAGGATCGTGTCCGGTACAAAACAAATGTCGACACAACACTCTGGTTGCCGCCGGCGCCCATAGATGGCGGTAGCCGTCCAGAGTGTTGTGTTTGCCGTTTGTCTGTTTGCCGCCGTCGTTCATAGATTGCGGCAACCTTTCCAGCCTCGGCAACCAGACAACTGGTTGCTGCCGCCACTCTTAGATAACATTTTATTCGGAAGAAACAGAGCGGGAGCGGAACGAGCGGCGATGTGCGCAGCAGCGCGAATGGTTCCGCAACCGACGCGAGGCCGTTATCGCCTCAAGTTCCACTGCGTCGAGCGCTTCAGATTCCCTTGCGAAAGAAGAGCAGATCGCTCGCTTGGAAAGCCACCGCCGAGAACAGAAGCTACAGCCTCGCTGCTCTTCCTTCTTCACCAGAGTGGAAAGGCTGAAAGTTTCTTTTTTTTTTTTTAGTTCATTTATACTAGTAATTCTGTTTTACATATACAACCATATTTATCCTCCTCAGTAAATGAATCAAGCGTGAAGTCTGTTCACTTGGATTACTTACACAGTTGCTAGGGCTTAAAATATCTCCCAATAAATATATACAAATTAAACGGATAAATTGATTGCGCTCTGCGGCTCCGAAACAAGCATGGTGCTTTGTGCAGCGTATCGTTTTCCGCTTGGCATGATCCCTGGCGCCCTCTGCAATCACGTGCTCTACTCGTCAATGTCCGTCACGGCCAACGGCGACCTGCGGTCCCGTGCCGAAGAGTTTGACTACACGTGCAAGGGTCTCGAAAGCACTACAACCCTCAAGAAGCGTTTCCAAGCCCTAAAGGTAAATCCACAAGGGAGAGACCACACCTAAATATAATAAACGTAATTAGAATTCAGACCTCATACATTTTACAGCGGTAGCTGTTAGTGCGCCTTTCCGGAAAAAAAATGCTCATGTACGAACGCAAAACCCCACTCTACAGCAGATGCACTGCTCTCCCTCTCCCCGTCGTTCATCACACATTCGCTCCCTCTCGCCCCCCCCCCCCCCCCCCCCCCATTTTTTTTTCTCTTGTAGGCCGCCCCTGTTCCGAAAAACCCACGTGATCACGCAGACCGCACGGGGAAAGCGCTTTTCGCCTCCCCATCGTTCCTGCTACATCCACGTACTCTCCAGCAACGCACTCCCGTCCTCCATCCCCCTCCCCACTCCTCCGGCAGCCGCCGTTGCGAAATACCAACGTGGTCGCGTTGTGCCGACACGCTCCCTCGCCTCCCCGCCGCCGCCGCCCATGGTTCCGTCCTCCTATGTACGCCGCTCCCCTACAGAACAGCTCGCGTACGTACTTCCGCTTCTTCCACCGCAGGCGCGGTCATAGGCGCCCCTGTTCTACATAAAAACGTTTCAGCCCCCCTGAAAACAACAAGAAAAGCCGTTTTTTGCGTACTCCAACACACGCAACATCTCGCACAATCGTTCCACCAAAGCGCACATTTCCTCACACACGTCTCCTACATCAATTCCACTGAAAGCAAAGAACCCATTGCAAACATTGTACAGCACAATGGCTAAAGCAAATCTCCTTCAATATGACTCTGCACAACGCAACAGCTACCGTGCCAATACATGGCTTGCACGTGACCTGAGTCCCTTTCTTCTTTCTGGTGGCAAGACGCGTCTCGTTAATGCAGGGAAAGCTACTGTTCCATGCGCCCCCCCCCCCCCTTATGTCTGATCAAGTGACGTCAGTGCAAGTTATGTATCGCAGCACACTGTGGGGTCGTTTGCAATGTTTTTAGCAATAGGAAGTATTCACTGGACGCCATAATTGTGGGTGCTGTTTAAAGCGCATGCTCAGAACGAGCTCATATTAATAGGCTGATAAGACCGGCACGATCGATGGTGCGGAATGCACGTTGCAAAAGAACTGTAGAAGCTCGCCATCAGCACGCGCACAGAATTCGCGCACACAGATATGGCCGCCAGTGAACACTCCTCGGGACTTTTAAGGCCTGTTCACACATGCAGCGGAGCGCTACAAGCATAGCGCTTTCCTCGCGCTAAGCGCGTGCTGACGGGAGCGTTCACCAGCTTTGTATCGCACCGTCAAAACTGTTGCTCATGGCAGACGATAAGTAGCTGACGGCACGTGAGGAGCGCTACTTCAGCGCTTCGCTGCATGTGAGAACGGACCTTTAGTGAACCATAAAAAAGAGCCTCTCTTTGCTAGCAGGAGCTCGTGTCGTCACTTAGAAGCATGCATTGAGCACCCGCCCGCTCAGCCCGCTTTCCGGAGAATACGATCTACTAAAACTCTCTAATGTCTATAGAAGCTTTGCGGCCTACCTAAGGCCACAAGACACAAACATGAAAATATTTATTTCCGGCGTTCCAGCGCCGTTTTACCGAAGGGACAATGTGAAGAAATAGAGGTCAATGAAAAGCAGCTACGGCCTAAACATCTGCTTTTTAAACCACACTACCTGTGGTAAAAATAAGGACAAGCTACAAGCCTGCCACTATCTTAAGGGCGGTTACTTCACATTCACGATGCATTGTGCTAAACAAATTAAGAGCTGTTATGAAATATATTATTCGTCTAGAAAATTACCCACGAGGAAGGTTTTGGTGTGAGCTGAGAGTAAACATGGCGCGGGCGAGAACATACTTTTCACTATGAAAATGCCCCATCGATCAAAATCTCACGCAGAGGGCCGTACCCTTGTTGGGTGCATGTAAATGTTGTCCATTGCCACCGAAAGCTTCAGAAACACTGGGTGAAACGAGTTCGTAGCATATTTTATCTCTCCGCAGCCAATCAAATTGCTGCATTAGCCCCCGATAAGAACTCCAAAGAACGAATCACGAAGCAAGAAGCAGTATCATAAGAAGCAACGCTCCAAGTTTCTCAAGATGTCTTTGACCACACTCAGGGATAGCTTCCTGTGGCAATGCAGCCAAAGCTATCGGTGCACGGGCGCTCGTGCACCCTGAGCACCGATGAAAGCTCTGCACGCGAACGCTTTACGCTTCCTGAAATGCTAGAGGAAGTTGTCTACGAATAACGTGCTGTGTAAGGTTTACTGTCCTCCGACCAAAACCTTGTTATTCCTTCTACAGGTGCATTTAGTCATCAGCGCCGAAAGCCTGTTAGAGAACGCTCGCCTCTTGGCAATTTCAAGAAGCCACGCCCTCAGGATGAGGCTCATAAATGGCCTGATGACGTGGGCCCACCGTTACGGCTTCGACGGAATCTTCGTGTCTTGGTCCGATCCTTTTGACGCCGGCTCATCGGGCGTCTTCTTCAAGACCCTGGGCTTGACACTCCGACCAAAGCTCACGCTTGGCGTCATACTTCCGACGTCTAGAGATGCCCTCGATCACTACGACCTCCCGAAGATGGCTTTGGCCGTTGATTGGATGATCGCAACGACCCACGGCTTCTATCCGAACGGCGACTGGAGCCATACATCGTGCCCTAGTCCTTACAAGTGAGTGGGTCCCGTTTCAGAGATCGCTGAGGGAATATACCTTTTTAATAATAGAACTTTCCGAAAATATATGTCGCCCCCGTTGCCTGCCAAGCGCATTATGACTATCCGATGTACGGCGCGTGGAAGAAACGAAATCGACATTTCTTTGTTTTGTGAATAAAGAACGCAGAGAAGACAGCGGGAAGGCAAAACTGAGTATTTGATAACTTTCTTTTTACGTTCGTTAAATTATTTGTGTGATCCGATCTCCAAGTAACATGACAAAATGGATCGTTCCACTTCCAGAATACACGAAGCGTCCCGGTCCACCCCAGCGTATATCAAAACAGCCCCACACTTACCCTCGCCGTGCACTTCAATGTGGGATAGCTGTGAGGTCTCCTGGGATTTTCCGTGTCACGAATGTCGAGGTGACGAATCAAAGAATAACTAAAGAAACTGAAACATTTGATGGGGCGAACTTGTGCCCCATTAAACGTTGAACAGAAGATAACAACACAGCGTCGCGGGCGTCGAAGTCGGCGTACTGCAGCAGGACCAAACGCTGGGGTGAGACTGCCTCCGGCTCGCCACGCGGAGCACCTTTTGTACCGGCGTGGGCTTCTGGAACATTCGGCCTAGAACGTTCGGCGCGTAGAACATTCGTATCTCGATGAAGCGAGAAAGTTCCCGGACTTGCGAGAACAACAAGGAGAAATAATAGAGGCTTCATTCCGCTACCTGGATTCGAACCCAGACCTTCCGCGCGACAGTCAAGCGCGGTAACCATTCGGCCACACACGCGCCCGCTCGGTGACGGGCTTGGCATCCGGAAAGGTCTTTTGCCTTCTGCGCACTACCGCATCTTTGCACGGGGCTGTAGAACGCTCTCTGAGCATGCGCAGTTACATTGCTCTCTTCCGCATAATATCAGACACCGCGCATGTGTCAGCAAATCAGATATTCGGTATTTTTTACCTACATGGGTGATAACCGCTACAAGGTGTGTTCTGCCCCGCAGTACATGTTGCAGCACTAATTTTAGTGAAAAGTGCGCTCGGTGTCATATGGTCCTACGACTGCTATTCTAGCGGTCAAAGTGGCGGAGGCCATTTTGCCACTGAGAGTACATGACTAGTCTATTGCGGAGTAATATCGCTCGTCCTTCTTATTAACTAAACGTATTGAATGAACACCAGTGATTGGTGTTCATGTGTATCATGTACAAACTTCTGGGAGTGAACAGATTTAGTGTACTGAAAAACGATCTATATTTGTTTCGCCTAATGTCTGATATATTTGTGGCACATTCAATTCAATTTGAGTGCGTGGTCAAGAATATATTTAAAAAAAGACTATGCTTTGCAAGTTCATCGTCGGCAACATGAAAACAAAAATAGGCACGCTATATAAGCAGTTATCACGGTCCTTGGTATATGTACTGACAGTTTCTTTGTATGAGACGTCCCGTAATAAATCGTGGTTTCTGCGTACATCTCGGTCACTGTACCAGTTGCGATGTAACCCTCCATTTGACCAATAGACCCTTTCAGAAAGAACGCGCCATCTAGTAGTGGCTGCGTTAATTATCCTAGACAGTCATTGTGTGGGCGCGTATACTGTGATCATGCATTCGACGCAAGGGCTGTGTCAGCGGTCGGTTGAAGCTGACTCAGCTAGTATCATAGACGAGTACTACATGCGTCAGTGTTCGGTGAGGATTCGGATCCAATGGTATACTTTTTCTGCCCAAGAAATGTCGACCCACAATGTTGCTTGATGGGCTTTTTTAAAAGGGCCATTTGTTTTAACACACAGAAGCTCAAAGCCGTTTTGACTCTTCCAGAACTACTGACCCCAACAAGCAATCTGTGGAAACGCAAGTCGAGTATATAGCAAAGAAGTCGGAGGGCGCGCTGAATTTCACGACCCTCTGCTTCACGATCTCGCCTCGGGCCTCCGGCTACCGCGTCCGGGCTCCTGGTACGACCATCGGCATGCCTGCTCTGGGTCCAGGGCTTCTAGAGGACAGACCTGGACTCCTGGAGGACGATCTTCGCGTTCCAGGAATGCTGGCGTACAGTCAGGTCTGCAACGTCCAGAGGAGCGCCTCCGAAGACCCTCTGGGCCTATGCGTCTTCACGAGGATCGGGAGGACCTGGGTGGCCTTTGAGAACCTTAGGTCCATGGAGCAGAAAGTGAACCGAACCCTCTGGCTGCTTAAGAGTCTGCGAGGTCGTTCCGTGGGAACCTCGAGGTTCTGTCTGGGCGTGTGGGACTTGGACCTGGACGATCACCAACCCGTGTGCGGGGACGAGCCATTTCCATTGGTGGAAATGGCAGTGGCTAAATTGCCTTAATCGAAGTGATCTATCATATTTGTTCAGTTAATATGCAGTGTGTTTTAATCGATATATTTCTTGTATTACTGGGCATGACTATTAGTGACAGCGCCTGCAACTTTATCAGGTTTGAAGAACATTAGATGCAAGATAGAGCCGTATGATCAATTGGCTAGTCCTCTAAATTTCGTTGATTTACTCCTTAATTACTGGTTTGAGATAACACGTTGCAACGGCGCTTTCACAAGTACGTCGTGTTCTTTTTTGTCTACCATATCGCCTTTTGTAACCTTATAGATTACATGAGTGTTCAGTGGAACTTCGCAGCGCGGCATACGTCATACTGCAATTGATCGAATTATATAGGTATTTTTCTTACTTCTGCAAGAAATTTCCGTGTGCTTTGATATAACACTCGACCACACTTTACTTCTCTGGCGGCCAACTTGGCAAAGAGGCTTTTAAGGACCACTATTATGTCCCTATGACGATTATACAATGAGGCTGAGGTACCCCGCGAACAGTATGAGCTGCAATAGCCAGTTGGGATTTGTCTCTCAATTTTTCTCTCTCAAATATTTGGAGAGTCCAAAAAAAAAAAAAAAAATCCTGAGCTGCATGTTTTTCTTAACTGTTGCAACGAAAGTTTATTTTTTATTTATTTTTTATCTGCAGCTAGACAAAAAAAATTGAGTCCTGTGTTAATCTACATTATATCGGCGTTATCCGTGACGCTTTATGGCAAAGTCGTCGTGCATCAGCGTCGCATTCATGCACCGTCGCTTGCGCAAACAAAAGCGTTTAGAACAAAATAGACATCTAACCATTTTGTTCCGAACGCTGTTTTTTTTTTATTATTGTTATTATTATTTCTAGCAGAGCACCTGCAAGCGCTTCTCCCGGCACGAGCTCTTGGCATTAACAGTGATAGAACGAAATTTTCTTATCTGCTATTTTTTTTTTCTCGGAGCGCGTGCAGTGGCCATTGGGTACTACGAAAACACTAAGTATAGACCTTTTTCACATAACGTCATACTAGCGTGCGACTAACGCACATCCAGTGCATTTTTGGCTTGCCCACTGACAGGGCATGCAACCGCCAAAGGTATGGGCAAAATGGCTCAAAAACGGACGTCGTGCGTAAGTTAGTTCCGAGTGTTTTGTTATTTTACCGTGTTACAATTTCCGAAAACCTAGGGTTGTCTGGACGTGACTGTTTCACCGTCCAGTGCACAAATAATTTTGACGATTCATAAAAATAATCGCGGAAAGTGTGAGATGAGCACAAGAAGCTGCCGCTTTTACACACGCGCCAGAGGACGGCCGCCGCTGGGCGCGTTAAAGGCCGACGACCAGACTCGAGATTCTGCAAGGCAGAAGATCCTTCTCACCCTGGGGGAGGAGGAAACAGGCAATGGTGGGCAGGGTAGAAGGGGGAGAGGAGGAAGCGCGGGAAAGTGGAAAGGGAAAACTGATCGTCGGTCTTTAATTAAGTCCATGCTCCGGAGCGCGAGAGTTTGGCGCTTTGTTCACTAAGTGGACAGGAGTGCCGCCGGAGACATGACGCTCGGGCGCGCTCTCCGTGTAGCGAGTATTTCTCGGAGCGCAAGTGACTTCTTCGCTCTCATGCGTCTCGTCGATAGTTTCGGTGTGTAGCGCTCCTGTACGCTGCAGTGGGCTCCGTTTAGTCGCTGCACTCGGAGTACAGGAACTCGGAGCGTCGGAGAGGAGTAAAGGAGCGCGGACATAACGTGCTCATTGCCGACCTTCTCTTGTTCAGGCAGCTGTGCGTGGACACCGTCATAACCAAACTCTGGTTTTTGTTTCTTCTTGTTCCGTTCGCTTCACTTCGTCATTGCCGCAGCAGGGAAGGGTTTTGCCACTTTAGGTGCTACTGTGTCCTTATCCTCAGCATAGGTCTTTGTGGAGGCTCGTCAACGGCTGCTTCAGTGGCTCGGCATCTCGGTAAGACAAGAGAAGATCGGCCATGGCGGCTCTATCTGGCGCGTCTACAAGCTGCTATGCCCGTCAATCCACAGCCCGTCATCCACAGCACCGGTGCTTCTCCGCGCAACTGTTTCGGAAGCGCCATCCCGTGGCTGTCGTTGCTACAGAATGATCTGCGCACGATGCAACCCGCGCAGGCTCGCGCGAACGTACGGCTCTCGCTGAAGCCTGACGGGTGTCTCGGCATTTCTGAATTTACCAGGGTTCCACGTCCCGAAGGCATCAAAACACCCGCAATATTACCGGGAGAGTAACGAGACGCAATGACAGAATTGCCGATGCTAAACCTTTGGCTGCTAATTCGTTAATTCGCGGCGAGACGCCGAAACTACAGAAACACACTTCTCCGAGCGATGGAATGTCCGCTCGTGCTTCTCGCTTTCCTCGGGTATAAGCAGGGGGGGGGGGGGGGGGGGGGGGGAGGTGCCGCCGCTTTCAATGCACCGTCCTCAGAATTTACGGCGCTCCGTGGGGGCCTCCATGTTAAAACTTGATACCAGTGTGGCTGCATCTGTAGGTCGTCTTTAAGTTAGAGGTGACGGAGAAAATCTGGCCACGGCGCAACGCGAATGTACGCTGGAAGCTAGAGCCGGTTTGCTTTCGTTGTTTTTGTTTGGTGGGAGAAAATCTAGCAACAACGCACGTTCAACATGGCGCCGGGATTGGTTCGGCAGCTTCGGTTTGACCCCGTTTGACGCGGTTTACGAGCACATGTAGCGAAGACATGACCGGAGAAGTGCCCCTGTGGTGGTACCGGAAGACGGAAAGTATCATTCGTAATCGTCAAGTGTGCTTTGAAAGCGAAGGGAGTCACAGGGTCCACGAGTGCGCAACCACAAGCCAAGGTTCACGACAGCGCTCCGTTGACTTCGGCGATCTCGTTCTGTTTGGCTTATAGAGATAGGTTTGGTGCAACACGGCGATGCGACAAAGAGTTGAAACGTTCGTAATGTGTGATGCGGTGCTTGGAGGTAGAAGCCCATACTAACACGAAGCGCAAATTGGTTATTGTGGGGTTGAAATTCAACGGGTTCAATTTCGTCGTCGTCAGCTGATCCGGTCCAGCTGGCCCGGGAGGACGCAGCGAGCGCTTTTTAAAGTAAATCTTCCTTCGTTCCGTTTCAAAATATGGAAGATTCTCGACGCATACCGTGAGTAAAAAGCTGCGGGCGTTTTCAACAAAATTACGTCGTTTTAATTGAACAATGCACTCCGGATTGTTGTCCTATAGACCTGCCGTTTTTATGCTTCGTGTTGGCGTTTGCACAGCGACGCACACCGCCCGAGTAGATGATTCGGTCATGCAAACGACCGGTCATACAGAACTTCAGAGAAACTTAAGTCACCACCGATATTTTCTTGTAAATCTCGTGTGAGTTGGTTCCGCTCGTCATGTGGTGTGAATAAATTGGGGCAAGGTTTCCTACCTGCCCACAGATGCATTAATTGAGACCATTTTTTACGTAGTGAACATAGCGTTTTTTCTTTATTTTGGAAAGAGGTGTTGGGGAATTTATCATGGTACAATCACTCGAGAGTTCAGAAATTGGAGAGAGCGAGCATGCTTTCCTAACTTTGTCTCTTTTCTCTCTGGCATTGCCCCTAGTTTCAAGTTGCAGTTGCAGTAGACATACCTACTAGCAGGTACAAACTGCTCTAAAGCAGGTAAAAGACTGGCAAGTCAGGGCGGTGCGGACTCCGTGTTTTGCGTTTTTCGCAAGGTGACTGGGTAAGTGCTTTTGCGAGGTATGCGGAATACGCAAACGATTTTGTTATGCCAGTCGGTTGCGCCTCTCCAGCAAAACGTCTACAAAGGCGCAATCACAAGCCAATATTTACTATAACAGTGCATTTGATTCGGTGGTCCGTGTAGTTGTATTTTTCCCTGCTTTCTGCAACGCCGTGTCATGGCGAAGAGCTGGAACGTTCACGGATTGTGCTGGGCTACCGGTTGACCCAGGGGCAGATCCAAAACTCCGTTGTTTTTTTTTTTTTTTGTTTCGGGGGGGAGGGAGGTAAATTTAAAGCAAGATGAACAGGACTCGGGTTGCGCCTTTTGTTTTAACCGCCGCAGAACCACACTGCGCCGACGGCCCCTAGATGTGCGCCGCTGCGCCGACTTTTGGTTCTAAGCCGTGCTTTGAAACCGTCGCCGCGGACTTCAGTCTCGGTTGAAGCGACGGAGTGGTTCTCCAAGTTCAGAGTACAAGTGTGCTTGCTAGGGTGCGACCTAACCTATTTCGAACCCTCGTCCTTGAGTACCGAGCCTCCTACCACCTGGCAGGCCGGTAGTTGGTTTTATTTCGGGGGATCCGCCCGGCCCATGTCAAATCGGCCTTCGAGAAGGAGGCAGGGGGCGGGGGGGGGGGGGGAGGGGGGGGGGTCGACTGTTTGGAGGGAAGGCGGCCGTCCCCGTAACCCCCCCCCCCTTGGGTCCGCCCCTGGGTTGACAGGAGCCCGCGTCGCCCGCATCGGCACTGAGTGCACTTGGGCTGTTGAAGTGGCTCTAGGCTGTTGACGCTCAGGCCTTTTATACGCGGCTTGCCGCCAGCTGATCCGGCTGCTCGACTGTGAGGAAGCGGCGAAAGTTACCTCTGAAGTAAATGTAAATCCTTGTTCATCCAGTTATCCGGTGTCAAAGTGTGGAAGGTGTCCAACGTGTATTGGGGGCGGGAACTACGAGCGTTTAGCCTTGCTTTCGTAACCGAAACCAGAACAGCGAGCCTTGCGTACTCCAAAATGATGGAAGCAATAAGTCGTCAAAAACCCGTTTTTAGGGTTTCAAACAAGTAAACAAGACAAATATAATTAAACTTCATTGTCTGTATGCAGGAGGACTTACGTAACACAACAATACATTCTCGTTCCAAAACGAAAAAGAAAGTAAAACTCAGTCCGCCGTGTATGGCAGCAACTTCTCCGCTGCAAAACCTATGCTGGCAACCTAAGCGGTTTTAATATGGCAGCCTCCGCTTTGCGCCGCGCTCCCTTTCCCTCCTTTACCCCCCTGG